AAAGTTATAGACTAGAAACCAATTTCGAAAGAAAATTCAAAGGGCTGTAATTTTTGAGCTAGTAGCCCAATCTTGGAACTGTTTGAAATTATGGATTCTACGGGCCAAATTCTATAGGAAAATGTTTTTTCCCCTGAGGGTAAAGCCATAGCGGGGGTGACAAGCGCCCCCAAAATTTTTATTCGAATGGGGGGGTCGAGTGATACCTTATTTTGAAAGTATTTTTATATGGATTATAACCCTTAAGTTTCAAATCAATTTTATTTTAAGCGCTTAAAGCTGGAATCAATCAAGTAAATGTTGAAAATGTTGGCCTTCGACTTCCATACGATAATAAAGGTTTTATTCAAACCTTTCCCGTACATTTTAAAAACTTCTGGCGACATTCATCAATTATTCTTTGTCGCAAGTTGTCTAATTAAAAAGAAAAAAAAACAACAACAAAAAGTACGGTTCAGAATGTAGAAGAACATTTTTTGTATTTATTGATGTATTTATTTTTGTTATGTAACTAATTCATTTAAAAGCATTTTTTTCATAAGAAAATGTTGACACGTTTTGGTAACTTTATTATCGGCTAGGCAAATTAGTAGCGATTTAAAACTTAAGGGTTGTTATCCGCATAAAAACAAGGGATCACTCGACCCCCCATTCGATTTAAAATTTTGGGGGCGCTTGTCACTCCCGCTTGGCTTTGCCCTGAGGGGAGTGAAACTAGTAAAAAAATGATTCCCCCCTAATAAAAATTGACGGGTCCGAGGATTTTTTGGTAGATGTTTTGAGGTCCCCAAATTAGGCTCCGTTTCGTTTTGAAATGGCCACCCTGTATCAACAATCTTATACAGGGTGACACTTTTAAAACTTTCAATGGGCGATATCGTTTTTTATATTAGAGGTATCACAAAATGGCTTCAACCTCGTACCCCCCGCCACCCCCATGCCTAAATTTTGAATTGTGACGTATCACTTGTGATACATCATTGGAAAGCTCTTAAAAAATGCTTTTCAGAAATACCAACACTGGTGCATTTAAACTGCCCATTCACAATTTATGTAATAAAAATGAGTAATTTGAGTATTTGAT